TTTGATTGAAATCAGCTCAAACTTTCTACAATGTATATACATGTATATGTATAATAAAACATTAAAAATGAAAAAATCTCTCCTAGCTTTTTTGATGAAATACCCTGTAATATAATAATGTATATATAATAGCCAAATGGCTTTTCGGCAGATTTTTGAGCAAGCTAAAAAATTTATAAAAAATCCAATTGAGATTGGAATCGATTCAAACTTTGTACATAACAAGAACATGTAACCATAGCATTCACAAAAACTTCACTTTGTTTGAAATGATGAGACTACACCACAGCCAGGTCAGAGGGTCCAAGGCTTAATGTTAAGATCTTTTAAGAGATTGAAAAGTCTATCTCTACCATCGCCAGTCAAATTACTTAAAACCACCTGCAAACTAGAAAAAGAGAGGAAGAGAGAGCAGAGAAGAAAGAGAGAAAAAGAAAAAAATGAGAAGACATACATGCCATTCCAATTGCAAATAATAAAAGAGAGTGTAATCAAAAAATTTAATGTCCTATGTAATGTAATGAGTCTATGGACCAAATTAGTCACGATTTAATTCAGAAGCTAGCTAAATCACTAGTCAGGTCATCAATGTTGTATTTGGTTTGCATCCTGGACAGCAAGTCACTGCAGTGTTTGATTTATAAGACTCTTTTATTGATGATTTTAGCTTACTTGTCAGACCAGGCAATGAAAGGAGTTAGGTCTTCATCACTTTGGCAGTTAAACACAAACAGAAACGTTATTGCAACAAGGAGAAACTTCATAGCTACAGAATCAAATTTCTGTGTAGGTGTGACGGAATTTATTGGCCAGCCCACAATACACCTACATTTTGATCATAGAAACTAAAGAGCACTTCTAACATGATAATATTAAACTAAAGACTGAAAGGGATTAAATGATGAGATCAATGTTCATTGTTCAGTTGATAATTGAGTAAATAGAAAAAAATGACAGTGATGATTGACAGCGACTAAATGAATGTTCAGTTGACAAGGATCAATAATATTGAGTAAAATGAAAAAAATGGCAGTGATGATTATGATAGTGTAGAAAAAATGACAGTAAAGTAGCTAATGATTGACAGTGACAGTGTATAGTCAGTTTTATGCTAAGAGTAAATCTCCATTGCCACTAATAATAATGTACAGCTACTCTGTAGTTTTTAACTGTAAGTTTATGACCACCACCTCCACCAGCATTCCTACCAAACTCATAATAGTCTCCTGCTCTAGCTTCAGTTACAATGGGCTCATTCATCAGCTCGGTCCTTGCTTCTTCCTCTTTGTGTGGAGCAGTGCCAAGCGGACGGTACTTCACTGCAACAGCCTCTTTGCCTCTCATTAATTTTAAAAAGACGTCTCCCTTAAAATTCCCCCCAACCTTGATCCTTCCATTTTAAAGATATTACTAGCTTCTTCACCGAACCAGTCAGCCGCGGGCCATTGAAGTAATGTTCGGGTGTGCAGGGGCCCCGAGGTGGGCCATTTATCATAAAATCCTTACCCCTCATCACTAGATAATGTGGTAAAACTGAATAAAAACGTTTGCATACCAAACTGAGTGACTGGCTGTCCTCTTCCTTCAGGAAAGACTCGATCTTTAAGAGAACCAACACGGGGAGTAAGGTTATGTCTGGTTTATATATTGCCATAGCTTTTAAGTGACCGGAAAGAGTTGCTAAATCACCAGGGGCAGACATCTTGATGCATGTACAAGTGGGACAAAGGTCAAATCAAAATATCTTACATACAATAATAATTGGCTCATTTGTAAAATTAGTAGTAGCATAGATATTAAAGTAGCAAATATTATATATGGTATAAAAGCATTACTGCTGCCAATAATATAATAATTTATATGAGGTCTATAGTTGAGCCGGTTGCAGTAGCCGATGTCTTTTTTGTCACCGTCTCATTTTTTCTGTGCATAAACTCATCAAGAGAATCCAAGACTGCTTTGCTCTCCTTTTCATTTTGACTCTGTGCTTCTCTCAGCGAACACTTGAGCAATAAGTCAGCATTGCCAGTAGACTGGAGGAACGTATAACATCTAAAAAACACATCTTTAATTCGACAGTGCTGTTATTAGATAATACAACTTGCAAACTACATGTACCAACTGTAATTAAAATTTTTTCAAATTTTTACTAATTTAATACTAGTTTCACCAAACAAAGGATTTCCACATTTTTAGTGAGTGACAAATGAGCTGACCTTGATCATAATAATAATTATGCATTAATTTACATGTAGGTCAAAGTCTTATACGCTTGGGTTTCAACACAATACCACTATTATCTTACTTATACAAGCAGTAGTAGTTAATCTCTGCATCTCTCAGTAATCTTTTGAATGCGTTCATGTCCTGGATAATCTATAAGGATACATTCACAATGATGATCCAATCGGTTCACAATAATAGAAATACCTTTAGTTTATATACTTCAATAACTTTCCTAAGATAGAAAGAGTCAACATTGTCC